CATTTAATAGTTGTAATAAGCAATTCTAATAGAACAAATAAATTTGTTGTTCTCTCAATACATTCTTCGAATGATGTAAAATTTCTCTTTATACCATACATGATTGCACCATAACATTATCTTTCCCCAAACAGCATGCACTATACACCGTTCCCCCTTCCGTTTCCTATTTCAATCATTCGCAATTCCCAACATTAAAATCATTTATCATAATGTAAAGTTTATGAGAGAATCCAAAGTTTAGTAGAATAAATATAATATAATATAAAATTAAAAAAAATGCAATATTCAACATGCACTATACGCTATTCCCAATGGAACATACACAATACATCATGACACTATGGTACCATAAACATCCTTTTTAAGTTTACATCTGTATTTCTGGAATATTTACCAAAACATTTGCTTCAGTATTAAAATTTCTTTTTCGCTTAACAGCAAACCTATATACGAAATGGAATGCCTAGTTGTTTGATGTTCAACGAATATTTTTTTTCCTTTTCCTTTATTAAAAAAAAAATTATTAATAACTTAAAATATGTTATTTTTTCCAGGAGTGTTTCAATAACTAGAGTGCCAATTCATCTCAACATGGAGTTCGATATTGTTCTTCATATATTGAATGGGTTAAATGGATAAAAGTTAAGATAATGATGTGTATCTGTTTCTTGTAATAGATATCTGATTATACCTTTATTGCAAATACTTTCACCAAAATATATAACAAACAGTTCACTTTTATTTACTCCCTTGGTAATTGGAGGCATGGGACGATGAAGCTAAAACATTTTCCAAATATTCACGTTGAATTACTTGAAATTAAGATTATTTTTTTTCCATTTCGTCGTGCATCGTCAGTTTGCATATGATTGAGTCTCCAGTGTTCCCATTGCAGATCTCTGAAATTGACAATATTGTTCAATCAAAACAAAACATATTTTCTCTATGTTAATGATTCTAGTATGAATCTAACTTTAAATCTATAGCCTATCATGGCGTTATGTTCTTCTATCAATTATTTCATAGATGATAAACTAATGATTTGCGAATGTATGCATAAATCCTCGTAGCATCAAAACCGATAAAAAAAATATCTCCCTAAATATCAATTGACACGATATTTTATCTGTATTCATTTTAGTTCGTAATGTTTAGTTTCGTGTGTATATAACTGTATATCCTACAACTCATTTATTATAGACACTATGTCATGGTGACCCCTTTTAGAAGCAACCGCTAGTGGTGATTCACCAAACATGTCACATTTATTATGATCTGCTCCTTTGCCCAACAACAGTTGAACTTTGCCGGTATGACCAAATTCACAAGCAATCTTAAAAAGAGACTCTCCACAACTCCCACACATATTATAATCCGCTCCTTTTTCTATCAACATTCTTACTATTTCTATATGACCGTCTTTACAAGCCTTCATAACAGGTATATCTCCAAAAAAGTCACATTTATTTAAATCTGCTCCATTGTCTAACAACATTTTTACTATTTCTGTATGTCCTTTTGTACATGCCATCATTATTGGTGACATTTGAAAGCCGACACATTTATTACAATCTTCTCCTCTATCTAATAACATCTTCAATATTTCTTTTTGACCAATTTCACAAGCCAATGAAAGAGGGTACTCACAACCAATGTCACATGCAGTATAATCTGCGCCTGTGTCTACCAACATTCTTACTATCTGTGCACGATTCATTCTAAAAGCCATCATTACAAGTGTATGTCCATAAATATCACATTTATTATAATCTGATCCTATTTCCAGCAACATCCTGACTATTTCTGTATGTCCATATCTACTAGCCATTAATAAAGGTGACTGACCCCAGATGTCACATTTATTATAATCTGATCCGTTTTCTAACAACATCCTTACTAATTGTATATGTCCATATAAACAGGACATCAGCAAAAGTGATTGATCCCGACTCTCACATTTATCATAGTCGCCTTCTATGTCTATTAACATCTTTAGTATTTCTTTTTTGCCATATTCACAAGCTATCATGACAGGTGACTTATCAATATTGTTACGCTTAGTTTCATCTGCTCCAATTTCTAGCAAAAATCTTCCTATTTCTTTGTGTCCAAAGCAACAACTAATCATAACAGATGGATTTCCATCATCAAAATCTGCACCTTTGTCTAACAACATTCTAACTATTTCTGCATGACCGAATATAGCAGCATTCATGATAGGGGACTGACCTAAATTGTTACATTTTCTATAAACTACTCCTTTGTCTATCAACATTTTAACTATTGTTATATGTCCATTTCTAAAAGCCATCATCACAGGTGATTGACCCCAACTCCCACATTTATTAAAATCTCCTCCTCTATCCAAAAGCATCCTGGCTATGTCTGACTGACCCTTTTCACATGCAATCATTATAGACGACTGATCCCACTTTTCACATTTATTGCAATCTGCTCCTTTGTCTAGTAATATTTTCACTATTTCTGCATGACCATACCCAGAAGCCTTCATTAAAATAGAATTTCCCATATTATCACATTTATTACAATCTACTCCCTTTTCACACAACATCTTCACTATTTCATTTTGTCCATACATACTCGCTAACATAACTGATGACTGGCCATATATGTCACACTTATCATAATATGTATCTTTGTTTAACAACATTCGTACTATTTCTGTATGACCAAGTCCAGCAGCAATCATTACAGGTGACTGACCGAATTTGTCACATTTATTATAATCTGATCCTTTTTTTAACAACATTCTTACTAGTTCTGTATGACCACCTCTACAACTCATCATCACATGTGACTCACCAGTACTGCACCATTTGTAAAAATCATCTCCGTTGTCTATCAACATCCGTACTATTTCTGCATACCCATGTCCAGTAGCAGCCATTAAAGGTGAATTCCCGAGATTGTCACATTTATCAAAATCTGCTCCTTTTTCTAACAACTTCCTCACTATTTCTGTAAAACCACATGTAGAGGCCATCATTAGAGGTGATTGACCATAATTATTACATCGCTTAATGTCGACACCAAAATTGCAACAACATTTAAACAATGCAATATCTCCTATGAAACAACAATGTTGCATGACAGTGTCAAATGCAACACCCATATAAACATCACTCATAGTCCATAATGTTTTATCCTCACAAGTATGCGCTAGTTGCTTCTGGTAAGATTTATCCAATTTTTTCAAATAATATAGGAGTTTCTGTCTAAACTGATGTATCGTGATATTGATATTTTTAAATACAACTTGTAATTTTCCCTTTGACCAGTCTTCAGTTATTCTCTGTATGTACATTTCATGATACTCGGTAGTCACAATCTATGTCGTCTTTTCTTTCGAATAAAAATCGTGTCTTGATCAAATGACTGTCAGCATTCTGGTTTAAGCAATGAACTATTTTTTGTCCAAAGTAGTAAACAAGAAATTCAAATATATTAACGAAATTAGTACCATTTATGTTATAATCATCTGTTGTTCTATAAAAGCTCAAAACAATATTTTCTGTATTATTGGTATAACATGGGTCAGTTACTTTCGAGAAAACATATTCAATAGTGAATCAAACGATTCCTTTAAAATAAGTCGTGATGTCCCTCTGACCAATTTACATGCCTTGTAAGTGTTCTCAATAATGATTTTTTGTTTCTTCGTTAATCTCTTTAGTCAATATTTCTTCATACACCTTGTTATTGAATACAACACATAATGCCAACGCACAGTATTTAGATTTATTATTTTCTACAATTTTGTCGATTAACATCATTACTATTTCTGTATAACCTTGTTTGCATGCAATAAATAAAGGTTTTTTATGATGTAAACTATCATATTTATCATAGTCTGCACCTTCCTGTAACAACATTCTAACTATTTCTTTATAACGACTAATGCAAACAATCAAAACAGGTGACTCACCAACCGTGTTACATTTATCATAATCTGCTCCTTTGTCTATCAACATTCGTGCTATTTCTGGATGACCATGTTTACAAGCCATAATTAAAGGTGACCTTCCATAAGATCCACATTGATTAATATCAATATCATGATTACAACACCACTTGACCATTTGAATGTCTCCAATCGAACAACAATGTATCATGACAGTGTCACAAATATCTATTTTATTCCAACTCTTCCTAGCTTTATTTTCATCAATATCACATGTATTTACTAGTTTGTGCTGGTAACATAGATCAAATGTATTAAGATAATAAAGGAATTTCAGTCTGAACTGCCTTATCTTCATGTTTATGTTATTAAAAACATCTTGTAACTTCCCCTTTGACCAGTCATCAATAATTCTCTGCATGTATAGTTGATGATACTTGGTTGGCACAAAAGTAATTAACTGATCTATAAAATTGAGAATGGAAATGGGGAATGTGTCAAAGAGACAACAACCCGACTATAGAACAGACAACAGCAGAAGGTCACCAACAGGTCTTCAATGTAGCGAGAAATTCCCGCACCCGGAGGCGTCCTTCAGCTGGCTTATCTTTCCTGTTCAACAAAAATCTTTCACGGATCAAACGGCTTTGTGCATTTTTAATCAAGCAATAAATAATTTTCTGTCCAAAAAAGTGAGCTAGAATGTCGAAAAGTTTTTCATGTATAGTAGTATAGAAGTTTTGTGTTCCTGTTGTGAGTGTATTGTTTTCTGTCGTTTCATTCACTTTTTCCTCCTTCTTTAAGAATGTAAATAAAAGCGAATCAAGTTCATCTTTTAAAATAAGTCTTGATGTTCCTCTGTCAAGTTTACAAGCTTCACAAGTGTTCTCAATTATGCTTCTTGTTTCTTCATCAATCTCTTCCGTAAATATTTCTTCATTCACTTTGTTATCGAAAACGATACATAAAGCTAAGGCACAGTATTTACCCAAAAATCCCTTCGTTTGTAGCTGTTCAACCTGTTCTTCATAAACTGAAAAAGGATTCTGGAAAAAATATTTAATATCAACCGCCGGGTTTTCATGATATAATTTACATAAGAGTGGGAAACAATCATAAAGATCATAAAAATCTGTAATTTGAGAGGCTTTTTCATCAAGATAAAGCTCGGCAATCGATTGCTTTTCAGCTTTTGATAAGCACATATTTTCTGACAACAAGTTACACACACATGACGTAAAAACTGATAATGTTTCAAATTTTTCATCTTGGTACACTTGTAATCTACATGCTACAATTATTTTTATTTTTTTATTATCAAGAAGGTCTTTAATACGCTCAATAACGGGTTCCCAAATTTTTAGATCAGACAGGTTTAAAGAAAAATTTCCACATAAATCATCAATTACAAACAATGTCTTCTTATTTGGATTGTGAAACTGGACAATGTCCCCTGGATCTGTTACTAAAAGTATGTCGAATCCATCTGCACCCATTTGTAAAGCAACATATTGGAGAGTTACCGTTTTCCCAACACCGGAACTAGCCGTTATAGTAACACAGCTGTTCTCTTTTAAATACTTCAGTACTTGAGTTGCAGCTCTTGTGTTAACAAACACCTGATCTCTCTCCTTCCATTTTTCCAGTATTTTGTTAATCTGAGCTGAAATATAAACCAATCCATATACTACAAAAACGTTTTTTATGCTGTATTTTGAACCATACAATAAAATATGCTATATAACACTGATTTAAAGCATTTCCAAGTCTCTCAGTTGTCTTCATTAGGAACTACTTCTTCAAAAAATATTTTCTCGTCCTACTACTTGTGTATTAAAAGCACTATTTAAAAAGGTTTAAATATTAATGCATCTAAAATATCTAAATCGTGAACACGGTGACAAAGTTAAAAGTTAATGATAATGAATTTAGAACGTTATATACAGTTCATGTACATAGTTGCATATTAGAAATCTCAAACGTATTTCCAATTCTTTCATGAATAACATTTCAACCTTTTATTCTTATGATCCTTTCAAATAATTTACCATTATAATCTGACCTAAAAGCCTCAGAACTCTTTAAAAATTCGTAACTATTTAGAACTTGATGTATCATGTCATACTGTATGGAAACCCACCTATCTCATTGAGGTTTATCTAACATCTCATTTTACAAGTAAAAAAAAAAATATTTAGCCGTCACAACTTGTCTATGTTTTATAACTGAAATTATAAATTTTAACCTCACACATTCCAGCGTTTCATAATAACGCACAACCTTCCAGGTACCAACATCCAACATGTCGAGTTAAAATTAGCCCGCCTTTCAAATTCCCACATACTTAGTTAACCTGTGAGATTTCAATGGAACAGTCATATATCCTCAAGTTAAAGAACTCATTTCAACAATAGACACTTACTTTTAGTTTTAACCTTCAAGATCCTATCTTATTAATCTGACTTTAGCTTCTCTCATGTTCTGAACATTATAGTTACTTTACAGGGCTTGGTTTTCACATATTAAGCTTTGAACGTTCCTAATGAAAGTAAATCCAGAAAAGCACCCCAATTTTGACATTTTTACCTATTAAAACTGTTTGTTTTGCTCACACATTGTTGTCAACATAATGGAGTTCAATTCGACTGTCATACAAGTGAGAGGTTAAGCAAGCTATGAAACTATGCTTAATCCACCATCTTTTACATAAGGAAATGTATGTTCCAAGTTAGGAATATGATGTGAATTACCTTTTGGTTTAGCCATTTGGGAAAGGACTTTCTGTTTAGAATTTTCCTTGGAGTTCGATATTTTTGTAATTTTACTTTGACGGACGCATGGGTTGTTTTCATTTTTTTACAAGTTTGATATTCAAACTGTTTACCTCTAACATTCCATTTAACTGTATCCTCCGTCAAACTTTTCAATCAATCTTTCAATGCTTTTATTTCATCATCACACCGTATGATTTCTTTGCTTGATTGATCGAGAGGCTTGTTTTTCAGCTGATCGCATTCGTCTTTCATTGTACATCCTCCTAATCTATCAATGGCCTGAAATGAAATGATGGGAACTGGGAAATATGATTTTTTTTTATATTAAAATTCGCATTTTAGCAAAAAGTATTATTGTAAATAAATAATATAATGTGACAGTTATATAAAGTTTTTTAGCAGATATATCCATTATTCCATCTTCACAATAACTATTGAAAGAATCTCAAGGAACCATTCCATCGGGTGAATAATATTGCCAAATTGTACTCATAAATAGTAGTGACCTTAAAGGGTACACATCGTCCTTGATTTCCGCTTTGGACCACACAGATCTCTATATTCCCTTCACTTGAAACTAGAACAATCAGCACAATCCTCTCGCATTATACCTAAATATAACCAACAGTTTGCCTACCATCCATGTCCCAACCATGTACAAACAAGTAAGACAACCGGCGGATCAAATGTACAACAAAATTGTGAGAAACTCAAAAAGAAAATTGATAGCACCTTTACAGTTCGGAATTCAAGACAAACGTTGTCGAGCAACACGCAGTAAGCTCCTCATTGCGCCAATACATTAGACCTCAGCTTTAGTAGAAACTTGGAAAAAACGGGAACATATTTTCACATTTATGAGTATAAATCTTGACAAAAAAACACGCAAAGCTCGCTCCTTTGTTGAACAGAAATAAAGTGTTTTAACCGATATTGGTGTCTATATCACCCTAAAACGAAACGATTAGATCAGATTGTGTTCAATTCGTACGCCAAATGAAACGAGGTCTCACTAAGCTGATTTCGGCAAAGCCTTTTGGATTTTGGTTTGTCCTCAATGATCCTCAACTCTATACTGTATTTGGCTTTTTACTTTTTTGTTTATTTAAGCGTCATTGATAGGTATTTTGTTGATATGATCATTATCATAAATTAACATTGAATTATTTAACATAAATAGAATTTCTATTCTCGTATGGTTGTGGCCTGTTATCTATTTCTTGCATGAATAGATATTTCTTGTATCACACTGCATGGAGTGTGATACGAAAAAGTGATTCGAATATCTGTGTTAATCTGATTGGCTTACCCAGCATCATAAGACGATACTTCAGCATTCCTATTTTCTATTCGTTAGGTCATTAATGACTTTCAAAGGTTACGACGATGTACATTTCGTCCATGGCAACGGACATATGTGTTTTCATCAATAAATATACAAAACACTCACACTCAATCACACCAGACTATCTTCTTTCTTACCAATTTTATTACATTCTGAAGCGTACAAAAAGTCTTAAAATGTCTGATGTTAAAGTTTTACACCGGAAAAGGACATATGACGTCATACTGGAATGTGCAAAAGACTTGATCAACGATTCGCAGTATTTTTAATCAAACACAACAAGAGTGTTGATCATAAGAGAAATAGGTTGCACAACTTGTGATAATGAGATATTGCTTGATATCAACTCTCATTATTTAATTTAAATATATTAAAATTAAATAACTCCAGTTGATATCAAGCGATATCCCATTCTCACTTGTTATGAAACCTATAATTCCCCAAATATATTACCTTTGATGTTTTTGACCAAACCTTTCTGAATTCTGTGTTCCAAATGTTCTTCAACTTTGTTTTTCATTGAATCTTTTTACCAGTTTTATTATTCCATAGTCACTGATAAGTCTTTTGCAGACAAAACTCGAGTCTGATGATGAGTTTATTCCCTTAACAGTGTCCTACTAACAGGCCCAACATATTTAATGATCTCTTGTTAAAATTCTTACGTTTAACACATGTTTCACTCTTAAAAAAAGACCATAAAAATTTTTCAAGTTTTCTACGGTATAAAGACAACAATTTTAACGAGAACAGTGTCGAGTACTGAAAAAGAATTCATGTTTTTAAACAAAGTGCGAAACCTGCCGTCATGAAAAGTTTTGTAGTCACGTAACAAACTTTGTGACAAAAAACTGCTATGTCTACAACGGTCTTACATCATGCACAACAAAAGAGGAAGTATTCAAACTTATGATGACACCCAAAAAGCATTAGCCAGCCTTTCTGAAAAAGATTACCATCTATTTATTTTTTAGCTTGATCAATTCATAACTCATCCAAAATTCCAAATAATTTTTATTTTGTTTATTCTTCGCTATCATGTGTAGTGTCATACATATGTACAAATCTACTGACCAAAACGAACTCAAAGCAGTAACTTGAAAAGTCTAAATTGAAACCAACGTTCAAACCTATGATTGCGTTGGAGAAAAACCGCAATTTTTATACGTGTGCATGCAAAACAAATTTCTTGTTAGAGGGGCCTAAATACAGCACAAACAACATTTTCTAAAAGACCAAAAAAGTGAAAAAGTATATTTCAACAAAACGCATTTGACTAACAGGTCGAACAACAAATGTTCTTAAATAAATATAAAGTACGTCTGAACCAGTGCCGACTCTACAACAGATTTCATCTATCGGATCACCAGCAGTGATGGTGACACAAGGCTGAAAATACATTCTGTATATATAACATGAGTCCGTATCCCGGCCAGGGAAGAACTGAATATTTGCTTCCGCAAATTTACAGATCTAACATTGTTGGGCTTTTGTTTAGACGAAGTTCGTATCCCGGCCAGGGAAGAACAAGAAATTTGCTTCCGCAAATTTACAGATCTAACATTGTTGGGCTGTTGTTTAGACGAATCATATATATATATAAAACAACATTTTCCAAAAGATCAAAAAAGTGAAAAAGTATATTTAAACAAAACGCATTTGATTAACAGGTCGAAGAACGGATGTTCTTAAACCATGCTGACTGCCAATGGTGTTTGCCAAATAAACGGATCACAAGATGTAACAAAATGGATCTTTATTATTAATTTAATACCAAACAGAAAAAAAAACAATAAACTTGCGGAAAAGATGGTATACCGCAAACATGAGGTGCACAAATTGGTACACCTTATCCGGATTTCGACAATTAATGTCTCTTCAGTGATGTTAGGAATCGAAACGGTATTTGGAAGGCCATATAATTTACCTCAATTTAGGATATACTCTTGAAATTTGAAGAGTCGAAATAGGATGAACGGATTATATAAACCAGAAGGCAAATAGAATACAAGCCCAAACGAAAAAATATAAACAAATCTAAATTGAAAACAACGTTCAAACCTATGATTGCGTTGGATAAAAACCGCAATTTTTATTCGTGTGCCTGCAAAACAAATGTCTTGGTAGAGGGGTCTAAATACAGCACAAACAACATTTTTCAAAGATGAAAAATTTGAAAAAGTATATTTTACCAAAACGCATCTGACTAGCAGGTCGAACAACGGATGTTCTTAAACCCTGCTGACTGCCATGGCGATTGCCAAATAAACGGATCATCAGATGTAACAAAATGGATCTTAAATGATAAATTAAAACCAAACAGAAAACAATAAATTTGCGGAAAAGATGGCATAACGCAAACATGAAGTGCACAAATTGGTACATCATATCCGGATTTCAACAATTAATGTCTTTTCAGTGATGTTAGGAATCGAAACGGTATTTGGAAGGCCATATAATTTACCTCAATTTAGAATAGACTCTTGAATATAAAAAATATAAATGTAGTGTACAAATAATAGTGAATCCACAGTAGATCATCACAGAGAGTGAAAAAGGATACGATTGATTAGGTCTGTATGAATCTGGATTGTTGGAGGGAACGCTTGATCTCCCCCATAATTCAGATGTGTGACATGACGCAAACTTTCAAGAAAAACCGAGTGTTAAATCATGTATGATTTGGCGGAGGACTGTCCTAAACCTCCTCCTCAGTTAACTATCGTTGGAGTGGTTTCCTATCGGCAATTATTTCACTTCAACCCGTTGTAGATAAGCTTGACAAATGTAAATACATTTGTCAAATGATAAGAGCTGTACATATTGAATATTCGAATGAACAAAACTCATACCGCATAGTAAGCTATAAAGGTGTAATACCACCAAATAATAGTACGTCACATCCGGTTGCATTTGACAGTTGTAGGAAATTAATCCTACATTTCGTTGCAGTAAAAAAATTCTGAGTCATTAACAAATATCTTGGGTGATTCACAGCACCATTCTATTTTTATTTGGTGTTTCTATAGAAAATTGTGGAAACGTCAGGTTACATGGTTATTAAGCTTGTACACAGCAAAACACATTTGATTGGTTAACTTCCAGTGATGGTTATTATCTTATGCAATGGAATATTGTATAAAATTGTGTTTGTAGTACTGGACAGGATAAAACTTTACTCATGCCAAGTGTTTCTTTACTTGAAACAAAGATAAATTCTGCACATTTTTTTTAAAAATGCAGATTAAGCAAAGACTAGTACAGTAAGAGAAAAACAATGGTGGTATTACACCTATTAAAGGTCTCTTAATAATAATGTAAAAAAAATCAGACGAGAAAACTAACAGCCTGGTTTTTGTACAATACAATAAAAACAAATATGATATACAGCAACAAACAGCACCCACTTAAGAACAGTCACCTGATTTGGGATAGGCACATACAAAATATGGGAAGGGTTAAACATGTTTGCGGGCGCGATCCCCCTAACCCTGGACAGTGGTTGAACAGCACAACAGAAGAACAAACTATTAAAATTAGCTGAAAAGGGATTAACTCATAAAATCGATATAAAGTTCAAGAGCAACTAACAAAAACTTAACGACGGAAACGCCATACGTTATGTTTCTTAGACTAAAGTAGTATCAATAATAAAAGTAAGATAAAAAATACCGAACTCCAAGGAAAATAAAAAACAAACGGAAAGTCTTTTCTCAAATGGCGAAACAAGAATACGTGTCCATAAGACATCGTCCCCCCTCCTAGTATCACATTTCCATGTTCATTGAAAAAGAGTCATATTCTAATTTGGTATATCATTTTTTATATCTTTAATGTGGTGAAGAACTGATGAACGGACGAATACACACACCAGAAAATATAACATTCCCCTCATAGAATAAGTTGGAAATAAAAGTAAAAGGGTCCTACTGAACAAAACTGCAATGGAATATTTGTCTAATTAAAACGTCAAACAGTTCATAAAAAACAATTTATAAACAATGACGTTACATAATGCACACAGACTCTTCTTTGAACCCATGCATCATCATAATTAGAAACAAGAAATAAAATAACCCCTGATTTTTTAAAGTATAATAATTTTTTTCTTGAAGATGCATTATCATAAACACATTTTTATAAAATTCTACGAAAAGATGACAAAGTACTATCTGGTAAATGCATCGATGATCTATTTTTTTACGTCTTAAAAAAGTGTCTTGAAATTAGTTATAGAAATATAAAAAAGAAACAAGTCGAGTACACATTTTACTTATGGGTCTGTTTGAAACGCCTGGTTTAACCTTATGATTTATAAATCAAAAATTAGAATATCATCTCGCTTAGAACTCATTTTTTAAACCTTAATCTCCCTTTTGAGAAGAACTAGATATATGGGTGAAATAAAAAGCCCATTAAAGAAGGTGCATTTGATTTTACGTATCTGGATTAATTATTCCCTAAAAAGGTTTTGTCAATAAAATAATCCTGTATTTAATTACAAAATATGAAAAGCTTTAAAAAAGTAGATCGGGTTAATTTTAAAATTGATTTGATTCCAAAAAAATATGTGTACTCAACGAACAAACTCTTTATTCAGTTTATGCTTCCTTCCGTCATGCTTCAACACAATAAGCCGAGATAGGTTTAAACATGTTGGTTATGTCTAGTAATATCATTTTATTGGAAATCTCTATAAGAAGAGGAGATACATGTAACACTGGTGCCTTTTTCAAAGAATATACAATTGTGCAATATATATATATACCAAAAAACGACAGTTCAAATACATATTTCTTTATCATGTATTTAGTGATAAATGTATATATTTTTTTGAAATTGCATACTTAGTATGTTCAATAAAACTCTTCGTTATTTATATATACCATTGATATTTTAGATTAGCCTCGGAAACACCTAATACAATTTAAAGCGACAGCCATGTTTGAAAGTTTGGGGTCATCATTTCTGTTTTTGTTTTCATTTTAAGGATTACTACTGCATACACATTCAATGATATGGTACAATTTAGAATTTTGTAATTGAAAGTTTGGCGATTTTACCTTTATACTTAATTTTAGTCACAAGAGTTATATAAAAATAAGCAGATGTGGTATGAATGCCAATGAGACAACTATCCACCAAAGTTTTAATGAAGTTGATGTAAGCAATCATAGGCAACCGTACGGCCTTCAACGATGAAAAAACCCATATCGTACGGTGAGTTAAGAGAATGTTTTTGTTTTAAGCATGAACAAGTTCTCGACTGCGTGACGTCAGACGGACCTTAAAGAAAATGAAACTTTACATACACCAGTTATATCAGTCCAGGCAGTACTGAAGAATGTTGTGTCTATTTTACTATCATCCAAATGAGCCAAGTAGTTCCTGTAATACTTTATTCTTGCCAAATCAGCACCTGGTGTGGTCTCCGTAGCTGCTGGTAATTTTTCATACCCAGCATTAGGAGCCATCATTGTAGTCAGATTTCTAAGTAAAGTTATCATCAAAGTGAGGTCAAATGTTTTTGAATCAGGAACACCTGCAAATTTAGAAATATGTAAATGAAAGATAATGCTATGTGTTCGTATGCATTAAAGACCGTTGTTAGATTGTTCAGAAGAGGTTTTATAGATTTTCCGTTAACATCAAAATGATTTACCAAGCCATCGCGTTGTTAGTTTGTTTGCGACTTATGGGATTGAATGTCTCTTTGGTATCCTTCGTCTCTCTTTATGTAACTGTTATATACTGAATGCTATAGTCGAAATATTGCCGGTTTTTAACGCAGCATAAATCAATGGTCAATCAACCAATCAGTGCAAAAACAACGCATTTAGAATACATACATATAAGACGTTTGTGACCAAAAGCCAAACATATAACCTTATATATAATAAAAACAAAATAGGAAGTCTGCCTATTTGTAAAATTAATGTGATAGCAATTCATGAATCCGTTAGTGTTTTATTTTATGTGTTCAATTAAGAGATTTAACTCAACGTTATACTGCTGGGTCTTCCAAGTGCTAATGTTATAACGCCGGGGCGAAAGAAGTCCAGAGATGACTTATGTATACAAAAAAATATTAACAAAAATACCGAACTCCAAGGTAAATTCGTAAAGGGGATGTTCGTAAAATGGCATTTTCCGAAGCAAATTGCGGGTTTAACCTGATTGTATAGCTAGATAAAATTACCACCTGTATGACAGATGTTTAAATAACGTTACATTGACAAAAATAACAAGAATCTGTAAACTTACCAGGAGTTCTCGGATGAAGGTGATTCCACTGGAATGGGTTTATTATCTTTTTTATCTTAAGATCACTTAGTGTTTTGAACTCTTGCTTTATTGAGGCACCAAGGCATGATGGGACAAATTCACGAACAATGCTCTTACACCACGTGGAGAAATCCCAGTAAGTAGCAAGCTCATCCTCACATAATTTTCCTCCTCCGGTGACAGAGGTGCACTTGCCATCTTCTTTATCAATCAGGGTACTTTTGTTTCTTTATACAAAATTATGGATGATTGGTCTGGATTCAGATGACCCTTTTCCCTTTTGTAGATAATTGAATCTTGAGTTTTCTTATAATGGTTGTGATCTATAATAATGTGGTTTCATCATATTCTGAAAAGAAAGCGGAATATCAAATAGTAAATTATTTTTGTAAAAAGTTTTCATTCTCTTCCGTTTCTGTTTATTCCCGGACAGTTGGTTTTTCTTAAATATTTATTTTTATGCTATATCGCATCAGCCAAGGGGACACTAAGTGATACCCTTGCCCGTATGTACGTCCGTGTAGTTTGCCTCAACCAAATGTTATGAAACTAATGCTAAATTCCACTAAACATAGATGAAGTTTGAATATACTCAATTCTACTCGACCATGATGAATAAGTCAACATTTTACAGAAAATTTTTTGACTTCCATCTTAACTATTCTCGACTGTACTGATTTGTACCCGTCACTAACCTGGACCGTACCTAGAAGTCTGACTCGACCAGGACGAAACAGTCTAAACTCTTTCACGCCCTGTGCTTATTTCATTCTTAATCTGTTTTCATCGTTTGAACCATACGCCACCAAAAGTTTAAACCGTACTCGATCAACTCTTAATAACACTCGACCACTTTAAAGCCATTCAATCAATCATGATAGTGTAACTTACAACTGTACAAGTGCAAGTTAATATAATTTGTATTTGTCCTCAAATTTTTACTTTATATGAATAATTTTCTGCGGATTTTGAAGAAAACAACATAATACATTATTAAATATTAAAACTATGCAAAATAATCTTTAATTTTCAAAATGATACCGCCTAGTATAAAAAGGTGCTCATCACAATGTTATTAACAATGAAACAATCCCCTAAAAGACAAACGTTGATTAATTTTATCTAATTTTGATATACTTTCATAAAAAAATAATAAAATTGCAAACTACTTATCAAATACAATTTTATTGCAAATAAGAATTAATCCGCATTTTTAATATGTCTGTCTCAAAGTTGTTTCATATTTTTCATGTCGGTGCCTTATGCAGCAGACTATACGGTAAGGATTTTTCTCATTGTTTGTGACCGTACGATTGCCTATAATTGTTTACATCGTCTTCATTTGAACTCTTGGTGGATAGTTGTCTCATTGGCATTCATAACATATCTCCTTATCCTTATATTTAAATAGGAATTTTCAAGTTAAATCTTAAAAAAAAACAACTAAAGTTATTACATCTAGAATTGTTTAGTCCTTAATCATTATTGAATAAAACTATTTTCACGAAAACGAGTAATGTTTGTTGGCGTTTTTTGTTGTTGTTGCAGTTCAGTATTCTGTTGTTCCGTTGTTTTTCTCTTATAGTTGATATGTTTCCCTCGGATTTAGTTTGTAACCCGGATTTGTTTTCCCTTAATCGATTTATGACGATTATATTTATACTGCTGTTGCCTTTATGCTTAAAATTAATCAGAAATTTATTTTACAAATAATAATATGTAGATTCTTATCATTTCACTATAATCTAATAAGTTACAAGATTTTTTTCTAGAAAAAAAGATGCACTATTTTGCTTTTAGTTTACTTATCAATACTGTCACAAATAATTATGGACTCATATTATAGATTAAATTTTGTTTGTGTTATAAACTCTGCGATGTTGAAATTAGGTTTTGGATTTTCAAATATTACGGACTCGGGCATCAATGAAGAGACACTCATTATCAAAATTTTCATCTGCTGTATTTTTGTTACCGTTACATTTTATAATGCAATAACTACGACACTGTCGATATTTTGTATTTCTTCATGTTTTATGCCTCAAATAGTAAGTAGGGGAATGAAATTACACTTTAAAGAAATTTGGGTCATGAATTTTAAAGTAAAGTAGTGATTTGGTCCAGCAACAAAAGGTTAAAAATTAGCACTTTGGAAGCTGTCAAAAGATTTCAAGACCCCCTTAACATGAAATTGTCCATATTTTGAGTTAGAGCCGATGAAGTTTTCTATAATTTTGATATAATTTGTCCCAAAAGTAGTACAACACACTGTAAAAATATTATTAAGAAAGAGCAGTTGGGATTTTTTTTTATTCTCATTTATTTTCTAAAAGAAATGCACTACGAAATAACTATGTACACGGACCTACATGTTACCGAGACTATACAAATAACTATTCATTCCCAGATAATGAAGCAGAGGCTCATAAGGCGAACTCACATTAGTTCAAACGAATGAACAGTTCTTCGGACTTTTGCAAACTTGAAATACACTTAAAATTTTGAAGAATTTATTTAATGTTGCAATGGTTTCCATGTCATATTTCCCGATTTGTTTCCAATAAACCGTTGATCCAATGGAACCATGGAATACTGGCAATTTTTGAACAGTGTCAAAGTTGCTAAATAACTCAGTAAAGTGTATATATGTACCAGAGTGTTGATTTCTAAACTGTATCATTTGCGTTACTTGTGAAGATGACACCATTGTTGAGGATCTAGCCGTAATGAAAGTTGGTGATTTGATGCAGGCAAGGAATTTGCATCAACATCTCTACCATTCATTGTAGCATCAATCATTTTTCCCATTTGAAATTTTACCGTGTCGGAAGTTCTTTGATAGGTTGCCAAACTCGAGACACTTTTGTTGCCAGTGATAGACATGATTTGAGCATCAGCAAAGTAGCTGCTTTTTGTGAGAATAGTTGTACCGGTTTCTCGGATTGAATGGTTAATGTAAACTTGTGATAAGCAACAAAGTTTAATTAACTTATCCATAAATTGAGAGTCAAGTGTCACGACGAACGAGAGAATTGCAATATTAAATACAGAAACTTCATAAAAGGATTTATATTTCCACTTTATCATAACAATAAATAAGTAAAAAAAGCTCATATTAATTTGATAATTTTTTCATTTAAAGATTGCGTGTTATAGATAAACTCATCATAGATACCAGGATTGAAATTTTATATTTGCGCCGGACGCGCGTTTCGATTACAAAAGACTTATCATTGACGCTCGAATCAAAAAATGTTGAAAGGCCAAATAAAGTACGACGTTGAAGAACATTGAGGACCAAAAATTCCTAAGAAATAATTTTTTCAATTGTTATCTAGTACATTTATAATTCTTCATGATTAATCAATTGTACTCTGCCAAATGCTTTTATACGAGTCTCAGATAACATTCCGTGCAAACTGAAAGGATGTTTCATTCTTCCCTATTATTAGATAGGAAACAGTAAAGTTTTTTTTAAGAAAATCCCCCATAATTACAAACATTTCTGGACCAGTTTTGTTTGTGTTTCATCTTCCATCAAAATTTGCTTTTTAATTTTATTTAAACATTTAAAGACTAATTGTGCGTGTGCATTGACGATAAAAATGCAGTATTTGTCACTGAACATATAACAAGAACATAGAATGAATTACATTATGTAATGTGTATCTGCCGAAAATTAAATATAAACCGCACTTAATATTTAAAAGAATCCTTTTTAAAATTTAATTCCTAAATATGATCTCTTAGAAATTGAAATTATAACAATTTTAACATATTAATAATACTGAATGCGCCATTTTTTACCGTTTCAGTTTTTATACTATTTATTTCAACCACAACAGTATTGTTGAACCTACATTACTTGTATTTAGTAACGATAAAAAGAATTAATATTGTATCATGTTCACTCACAGCGTAACACTTTTAATTTAACGGAATATTTTTAAATGCAACGAGCGCTATTTTGTTTTTTGTTTAAGAAAAGTAAAATACATTTTTCATTTCAATGAGATGATATCTTAAACGGTTAAATTAAAACAAATAGTGTCCGGCTGAGATCGTGTTTTTTCTCGAGTATATCGGTCCACTTGTAAGGAGTGATAGACATGCGATCAGATCGCCAGTACAATAGATGTATTCGTGACTGTTCATTTTATTCTAAATGCTATACATGTTTTGAG